ACGAAGAAGAGGCATTAACTTTCCATCCTGCTTCAGGACGAAGCACAGCAGAGGAGCTGCCAGGCTTCTTGCACCCTGGGGGCTGAGGCTCCTCCAGGGAGCTGTGGGAGGATGCAGCCAGGCTAAGCAGCAAAACGTCAGCAAAAGGTTGTTCTTCAGATGCTCAATTCTATCCATGAGAGGTCCCTGAGAGCTTTAGGGGGGATCTGGGTGTGACAGAATGGCACTTGAGGCAGGATAGCACAGCAAGGATCCCTTGCTCTGGGAGTGCACCGTTCTGCAGTGTTGCCTATGGGTCTGGTGAGCGTGAGCAGTGCCAGCTAGCTGCCAGGAGCCAGCCCTGGGAAGGCCTCCGTTGGAAGGCTGAGGTTCATCTCACTCCTTCCCCAAGGACCTCACCTCAGCTTCTGAAATTCCATCTCTCCCTTCTATGCCTGTGTTTTGCTGACCTTCTCCTTCTGCCAGAAGCAGGGATTGAAGTAAATCAGCTGCTCTGAATACCTGGTTTGCATGTGCAAAGACTGCCTGGCAAAGCACTGCTCTTGCTTTTGCTCATGCAAAATCTTGACATAACCTCTTGCAAATGCAGCCTGAGCTGCCCCCCAGCTGACTGAGGAGGATGTGGCTGGGCCAATCCACCTCTAACTGTCCGCCTCTCTCTGCAGGTAATAGGGAGCTCTCTCCTCTTCATTCACGACAAAAAGGAACAAGCCAAAGTCTGGATGATCGACTTTGGGAAAACCACCCCGCTGCCCGAGGGACAAGTTCTCCAGCACAATGTGCCCTGGGTGGAAGGGAACAGAGAGGATGGCTACCTCTGGGGGCTGGACAACCTCATCCAGATCCTGACAGACTTGTCCCAAAGCGAGGACTTGCATTAAAGCCTGCGTCCGACTCTTCCACTACCCAAACCTGCCCCCAACTGACTCTTCTGAACTGCACTACAAGACACTTTCCAACCCTTGCCCTTCCAATTTTAAATCTATATTCTCCCTATTTAAGGTGGTTTTGTTGTGGTTTTATTATTTTTTTAGGGTATTTTTCCCCCTGCTACATGTAAATACAAAGCTAACCTGCCAGAACAAATGCTGAACTTGAAACCTTGGCTTCACAGAGTCGGTGGCAGCCTGGGTGGGGCTGGTTAGATGGGCATGTGCTTTTGCCTTTTGTGCAGCTTGGTTTTCAGGGAACCTTCCTCCCAGCTGGCTGTGGATCAGGGATGCTGCAGCCAGGCTCTGTGGTGCTGAAGGGCCCTCCCTACTCCAGCTTCAGAGGCTTCATCCCAAAAACACCTCTGCCTGGGACCCTCCCGTACACAGGGGGCATGAGCAAGGCTTGGAGATGGTGAAGGGTTTTTGGTGGGGGGTATCCTGTAGCTGCCTTTGCCAGCACCTTTTGCCCTAGGAAACTGGCTGTGCTGAGTCCTTAGGAGTCACTAGGAAGGCAGGTTTGGGTTTTTCTCTTTGTGTTGGAGCCATCCACTTAACTCTGTGGAGGCTGCTCCACCATAGATGAGTTACTGCAGGGCCATGTGCTGGGTGCAGGGACCTATCACGGCCAGGTGCAGACCTCAGCACACTCCTGAATGCAGTGGCACGGGGGTGATGCCACGAGTCCCTTGATGGAGATCCACCTCCAGCTTTCTCCAGTAAGCATTTCCAACCCTCTGCAGGGAACAAAGGCTTTGCTAGGGCTGCAGAGAGAAAAACAGCGTAGAGGAGACCACTGAAACCTAAGGCAGCCAACCAGGTTGGCTGCTCTTCTTCTGGTGCATGCTAAGGGCTGTGCTGCTCTAAGGGATGTGCTGCCATAGGCGCTGTGCTGCCAGCACCTGCTCCTGGCCAGGACCTCACTCCTGCCCGCAGCACCTCCAGCATTCCCTTAGGGCCAGTTTTGTGCCCAGCAGGCAGGGGCGAGGGGGTTACAGGGACAAGCAGCGTTCAAGGTGCCATTATGGTCTCGATCAGCAAAGCAGGGAGGGAGGCACCCCTGTGCCTTCCCTTTTTTTTTTTTTTGCAATGCTTGCAGGCTCTGCTCTCGGCAGAGAACTCCCCAGTCCGCGTCCGGCCTCCCTGCTCCGAGTCCTGTGAAAACAAGCAGTTCCCTATTCAGGGTGGAGGCTATTTTTTGACTTCCTGGAACATTTGAACTAAGCAGCTTGCTCGCATCAGCGCTGGCTCACTAAAGGTCAGCTATTGACAGACGGCGGGGCTCAGCTGCAACCCCAGGCCCCGCTCATCTCTCTGCAGGGCCGATACTCCGGGACTGCCCCCTGGCACCGCTCCCTGCTGCAGGTCGGTTTCTGGCAGTGACAATGGGGACCAGGCCATCAAGCCAGTCACAGCCGTGCCCCGGCCTCTGTCCCTGGTATTGAGGTCCTCAAGGTTTACTTCAGCCCGTAGCTCTCCGTTGGAAATGGTCGCAGTGCTGTAGCTCTTTTTCAGGCTTTTGGGAGCAGCCCATGCAGAAGTGCCTTACAGACTTGCCTCTGCTCCTTTGGTGTCACGGAAAAGGTTGGGTTGGTGGTTTGTTTGTGTTCTTTTTTTTAAGTTATATTTATTTCATCCCATTTTAATTGCACAAAACACTAAAACTTAATGCATGGAATCCCTGTTGTTTTAACTGTCTTCTCAGTTTTTAAACCATCCCTTTTCCAGCTTCGGAGAAAGGATTTGAACAGATATGCTTAGATATGTACCAGTTATCGCTGTACTTTAGCTCTGAGTTGCTCTTATATATATATATATATATATATTAATTTTTAAGCCTGTTTATAAACCAGATCCCTCACTTGGTGGCTTCAGAAGAAGCAGACTGTTTCTCTCAGATGCTGTTCCTGGAGGCCGGGATGGTTGTTGTGAGCTGCTCCCCACCTCCCACCTCCCCTTTGGACCATTGGGTAACTGCTCTGGAACACCAACGCACAGTGCCTGTACCAAACTCCTGTAACGTTCCCAATAAAGGCCTATGGGAAGCAGCCTTTGGCGTTGCTCTGTGTGTGTGCTGCTCACAGTAGGGCTGGGTTTGCTGTCCCTGTGAGCGCTCAGCCTGGAGAACCCAGCAGCATTTCTGCTGCTCACCACGGGGGCCCTGAAGCCAACTGTGGGATGACTTTTGCTTAGGAACATGAAAGCTCTTTGTATCCAAAATAATTCCTTGTAGCAGAGCTGGCTCTGCTCTAACCTCCCCCAGCGGTTTCGGGTTTGCTGCGCTCCTGCAGCGCTGCTGCCGCCCCCTGGTGCTGTGCTGGGACTTCAGAGGGCTTCCAAAGCAGCCTCCAAACAAACCGAACTGTGCCTCAAAATGCAAACTTTATGGGTCAGCAACAGCTTCTTAATCCTGTTCCACAGAAACCTCCACTCATGCTGCCTGTCTTCAGGTAATTCTCGTCTTAATTATCTAATTAGGTAGCACCTGTGAGAATGAACTTCCTATAAATCCACTTGTGGTGGGGGTGCTGTGGGTTGTGTGTGGTTCAGTTGTTTGGGGCTGGGGCTTCTTGAGGAGCTGCTTAGCTCTCCTACAGCCCTAAGCTGAGCCTCTGGGTGCCAAGGGGGCATCAGGTAAAAGGCTTCAGTTCCTGCCATGTGAGTGCAGCTGACTAAATGAAGGTGGAGGAAGGCTGGGGAGAAAGCCAGCTTTGTGGCTGTGTGAGAACTTGCGAGTTCTTTGCTAGAGCTGTAAAGCTGAGCTACCTTTCCATCTGTGTGTTGCAGCAATCCTGGATATGGAGAGCCCTCATGGCCCTCCCTGCAGGTTCCTCCCTGAGGAGCTATGGAGCACAAGGGGAGGTTGCAGCTAAGGCAGAGAGAAAGCCACAGGAGGTGCCTGCTGTATTTGTTCTCCAGAGAGATCTGAGCTATGTTTACTGCCAGTGCTCACACAAAGCAGCATCTCCTTGGAGATCCTATACAAGGTAGGAAGAATCTCTAAGAATCTCTACTGGTTCATAAAAAGTTACTGACTGTAACTTTAGGCTTTAGAGAGTTCTAGGTGAATGTCCACTTTCATTCCTGTGAGCACCATTTAGAGTGGAACTGCTGTGATAGCTAGCTATTGCTTGGTGGGGGGTCTCAGGGTGGATGGGCCTTGCATAGAAGACAGTTAGTAGCTGTGCTACTTGTTCTGCAAACACGTGCTGTCATTACTATCCTAATATTAAGGCTTCTGACCGCTTTCCTATTTGGACTGTGCACACCATCCTATCGAACTCCACCTGCTGGATGATCTCCACACAGCAGGCTGAAGAAGCTTCATTGGTGTCAATACACCACCTAGATACAGCAATGAAGTTGTTTGAATTATAGGCTTAGTTTTCACACTTCTCCTTCCCACCAATCCGTCAGTACTACAATCAAATGAAATTATTTGGTAAACTATGTCTTTATTAACGTGTCAGGTTAATGGGCCACATTCATAATACTCCCCAGCTTTCAGCCTCTAAAAGTAGATGCACAACTGGCATAAAGTCCCTTGCAACTCTGAGAGAATACCAACTCCAGAGAATGTCAATTGTAAGCTAAGGCAGTGATGGTTTGATAGTTGCACTAAATGGTCTTAATGGCCTTTTCCAGTGTTCATGACTGTATAACTAATGAAGGTGAAGCCCATCTGTGTGCCACTTGAATTCTCTGCTTGCTACTCTTTTCAGCAAACTTACTCAAACCGTGATAGATTCTGATAAAGCTGGAATGAAGTATCACTATTCTGATACTGATATGTGGATATTCTTACTTATGTACAGAAATAATGACTTCTGTCTTTGCAAGTGGAGGGAGAAGTAACTGAATTTGTTTGCAGGTGAAAAGTAACAACTCAAGATTATTTTACAGTACAGAACTTAGTGACTTCGTTTTATACAAGTTAAGCATTGAAACGAAAGCTGACAGTGTATTTTCACCCATCATTTCCAAATAGCAAAAAACATATCAAGTTAGATCTGTGTATTTGCTGATGTATGTATTTGATGATGCTGTATTTGATGTTCACATGAAGAACAGTACTTAGTGACAAATCTGTTTATTATGATCCACCATCCTTTAGGAATAATTTGAAGATAATACAGAGTGATATACACAAGACTAGCCAATAATACTTGGAGCAGTTTGTGCTACTGAAATACTGGGAAATGGGTTAAAACTGAGTAACTTAATCAAATAGGGAGAGCATGTACTACTTAATACTTAGAACTGCTGCTCAAATACTTCTCTGGGAGGAAAAAAATGAACATCATTTTATACAACTGATGTAGCAGAGGCAGTAAAATTCCCTGCTGCATGCAGATTATCACTTCAAAATGTAACAAAGTACGTGAAGGATACCTGCACTGACAAGTTTTATAGGAGCTCAAAATCAACTTTTATTTCTGATGAAGAAGTTTATCTATTTTTGCCAGATCTCCCAATGAAACTGTCGCAGAACCTCTCTGTGCAGGTTTTGCCTAAGAGGAAAAGAAAACAGAAGGATCATCTCCAGATATTTTATAAGAGTCCTTTTAAAGCATAAGAAATTTAAAATGCACCTTCAAATAGAAAATAGTTGAGCTTCACATTACCTGTGACTCGTGGAATTTCCATCCAATCATGTAGAAGATCTGAAAAGTGGCAGGTACTGAGCCATCGCTATTGCCATACATCTCTGCCAGAAAAAGAAGATGTAGACAGCAGCAGTATTAGGAAATGATTCGTTTGCCAAACAGCAGAACTAAGCACGGCACGTTCTTATAATGGATTGTGGAGAAAGATTTGGGACAATGATAGTATCACATACTGATATATTAACAAAGTTCAAATTGTCACTAATTAACGTTAAAAATATATATATCAAGAGAGTATTTGTTTTTACAGAGAGGGCAGAGAAAAAGACAAGGTGTCATTAGAGTCATTTTGGGTTAACTCTTCCCCTATTAAATGCATACCTTGGTATATTGCTGCAGCTGCCAACATTGTATCCCTGTGTAGCAGAGGTTTTCTATTCCAAGAGCAATTACTTTCTCCCATACCTAAAAATATGTTTTAGCTTTAAGAAAAATATATATATGTCATGAGTTCCATGCAGATTTTTCCTAACTAAATAACTACAGCATCCTCTGAATCTCACTGTAAGAGTACAATCTACAGCAGCAAAGATTCTTTTGTGATTCCAAACCTCTTAATGCCAATGCTTTGCAATGAACTGTTTGTATTGCTAGGAATGATTTTAGATTATTACTTTTCAGTCAGAGGCTTCAAGCATTTTGTTCCTCTAATGTAACTTCTTTCAAGCACACAAAGTGTTTATTGAAAGACATCACTTTTTTTTTTTTCCAAATAAGTAATAATGAAAATAATTACCCCAGAAGATCTAATCCACATCTACTGTTATACAATTCTCTTTAATCACTTACTGCATCCCAACATTTCTGCAGGCAATGGAAGTTTTATTTTCATTAAGGAATTAACTCCACATCTCAGGAGATGATCCTTGACTTGTTCCATGACTACTGACTGCGTATAAACAGCTACTTTGTAATCCATGACAGCTGCATTTATAACCCTATCCTAATTGCTAAGAACCTCATTTTTTTTTGTTCTCCTGCAGACTCCAGTCTGTGGGTTTATCTAGACTTGCTCCACAGCACTGTCCTGAGCATCATGTTACTTAGGCTCACAGAAAAAGTCATTCTGTTGGATGTATGCTTCTGTTTTCCTCTCAGGATTTTTCAGCAGCTTGTGCTGAAGAGGCTCACAAAGAACAGGAATAAAACAGAAGCAGAAAACTCACAGGAGACAAATTACAAATCTTTGACTTTCACTTGCCAATGGGGATCTGCTGGTGAGTTCACTGTCCTGACTTCCTAGGTATCAGGAAAAAAGTAATGCTTCCACTACTACAACAAGCTTTATTTGGAGTCAAGAAATAAACACTAACTCTTCCACATCTGCTGATACACTCCAGAAACAAACATTTTCTGTATACTTGCCTTGCAAGTCTTCCATAACCTCAAATAACCCTGGATAGTTTACTTGAATTTCATCAGTATCCTAAAAGAGTTCAAAGGCTTAATTTTAGGACATATCAAATTTAGACCATAGCATTATGTTAACTTTCAGTGCCGGCCACTCCTGCTCAGATAGAATATTACTCAAAATATATACTCAGTATTTCTGAAGAACTGTTTAACAGCTTAAACACAATCAAGTTTTAACTAAAGTGCTGTTAGTTTCTTCTGAGTTTTAGAAGAAGCAGCAAGGGCATCATAAGTTCTTCCAAGTAAACGTAACATACTCTGACACCCTTGCCCATATAGACTCTACTGGGCCACTACTAAAGATACATTTCAGTTGGTTTTTTTAATCACTGCACAACCAAAAATTGAGCAGTCTAGGCTATTTCAGAAACTTATTCAGGTAAGTGCACTACATGCAAAAGAAAGGAAGCATTGTTACTAGTGCGCCTGAAATAGTATCTCTTGTACACCTGCAGCTCTGAAGTTTTGGATTATTCTGATTGTTCTTTTATTCATAGTTACCACAGTCAGGGTGTTAAACCCAGCTCTTGACAGGAGATGTCCCAAATCTGACACAGCAACAAACGGTGACACGTGAGGAGAAAATCCCCCTTCTCTCTCCAATTCTGCTAGCTGCAAAGAGCAGCGAAGCTCATACAGAGTGTCTCCCCCAAACATTGCGCCAATGAAGACTCCATCTGGCTTAAGAACTTGGTGTATCTACAACACAGAAGGAAAAAGAAACTACTGTGCTGTTAATAGCAATTAAATTCCTGGGTGTTGTTTTTTTTTAAATGAACTTAAAGCAATTATTATAATGGCTTCAATACATTTGTAATATTGACGCTATTCCACAAAAGGAGCTACAAAAACATCTTTTGGTAATGTTGCAAGATATATAATCTCTTCAAAAAAAGAGACATTACATTACAGTCTCTATTTTTCCTATTTCATAACAGGGTACCCCTATTTGTACAAAGAGGTGACAGGATAGCACTGCTCTGAATGACATGTTTGAAATAAAGGAGGAAACCAAACGAGGAGAACATATTCCTTGCTCTTGCTCCAAAGGCAGACAATTTGAAACGCAGCTTTTACCCACAGTAAGAAGTTTGAATAATCCCAAATCTGATTTCTTCCATAATGCTTGCAGTTTTTCCTCCTCAACAAATATTAACTTCTGTTAAGGATCAAAAAGCCTTTATCTGGTTCAAGTTGTATTTCAAAACAAATACCCAAGGTAGGTAAACATGGAGTACAAGTTCCCTAAACCAGGTATGGACTAGTTTGGTTTAGAAAACTAGTAAGTAGAACAGACAACAAAATCAACAGCATTGCCTCAGTTTGCATTAGTTCTTATGATCTCAGCTGTTATGACTACTATACAAACATGTTTTGTAGTTATCCTAAATTGAATTGAGACAGCAAGCTAACAGAAGCATCAACTGATAGCACTCAAACTGACAGGAAGATTACAAAAAATAGCCGAGTGTCACACGAGCTATTTATCAGGTAGGAAGTGGTCAAAGCTTTGAGTGTGAGTAATGATAAGTGTTGTTTTTTTATTTAAAAAGTTGTATTAAAAAGAAATTCTCACCTCTCTAAAAGCTTTAGGAAGGTCGTTCACCCAGTGTAAACTGAAATACCAGAAATGGACATTTTGTAATTGCACAATGAAATTTGCAGGAAGGCAAAAAAATGTTATACATAATATATACATACAGGTGTTAACAAACAAGTTCTCAGCCTGCCAAAGTTCTGAAACACTCTCAGATGAAGCGTGGTGACACTGAGTGAAAATGTAAGTTCATATACATAGCTAAGAGGTTGTTGTGTTGGCTTTTTTAAGGACTTGAAAAGCTGCAAATCAATTCATTAATCAATATACAGGAAAAAGAGATGTGTCCATGTGTTCTCATAGAATGTTATGGATCGGAAGGGACCTCCAAGCCCCTCCAGCCCCAACCCCAGCCGTGGGCAGGGCTGCTCCCCACCAGCTCAGGCTGCCCAGGCCCATCCAACCTAGCACTGAGTGCCTCCACGGATGGGGCACCACCGCTCTGCACAGCAGTGCCAGGGCCTCACCAACCTGAGCAAAGAATTGCTGCCTAACATGTAACCTATCCCTGCCTTTTAAGGCACTGGTTTTCTGACATCAATGTGAAAGAAATATATATATGTAAATGAAGTGCAAGTGAGCAATCACCTCAAGCTGCTCACAACAAGATCAAACGTGTCTTCTTTGAAAGGCAGGAACTCCTCATCAGCGACCACGCTGACTGTAGGGATTTCGGACTCCACAGCGTTTTTCTAAGGTCGGGTTCGGGATAAAAAGCATCACCAGCAATGCACCGTTTCTGCATCACGGCCCCGAAGCGCTTCAGCCCTCACAGGGCTACTTACGAAAACATTCTCCGCAATATCGACCTGAACGAGTTTTTCAACGACCTCCTGAAACGAGAAGCACGCCAGTCAAACGCGTGCGTGCCGCCGGCGGGCTCGGCGCAGAGCGCCCAGCGGGACGGCACCTCCTCGGCACTCCGTACCCGGTTCAGGTGCCGGGCGATGTAACCTCTCCCGGAGCCGAGGTCCAAAGCCAGACGGAACGTCCTGCGGGACGAGCGCGACAGCGTCAGGCGCCGCGACAACGCGCCGCGCCCGCCGCTCGAGGGAAACGCGCGTACCTGGGGATGTCGAGCACCCGGTCCGCCACGCCGCCGCCGACCTACGGCAGGGAGAGCGTCCCGTCAGCGCCGCGCCCCGCCCGGCCCGGCGCCGCGCCGCCCCGCCCCGCACCTCGTCCCGCAGGTACTCGCACTCGGCCGGCCGCGGCCGCAGCGCCGCCCAGTTCTTCTGCTTCCGCTTCAGCCGCCGGTCGAAGGGGCTCCGCGCGCCCGGCGAGGCGCCACGAGGAGGGGTGACGGCCGCGCTCCCCGTCCGCGCCCAGAGCCGGCCGCAGCCCTGCGGGGCGGGCAGGACGGGCCGCCACAGCGCCCGCGCCGCCGCCATGCTGCCGCTCCACCTTCTGAGCACGCGCGGGTCCCGCAGCCGCAGTTCTGCCGCCTCGTGGAAAGCGGTGAGAAAAGCGACGTAGAGCGTTGTCTAGGTGGGGCTGAAGGGGATGCTTAAACGAGCTTGGGGCGTGGTGATGAATGAGCTGAACTGCTTCTAGCGGGGACACCTTGATGGGAGACGCCCCTGGTGGAGACGAGGTGAAGTGGTTCTGTGTGTGAGAAGTTACCGTGGAGCAGCACCGAGGTGTGCGCTCCTGTCAGTCCGTTGTAAGCCTTCGGAACAGTTCGCGGAAGTGTTCTTTATAACGGGTTTTGACCTTACTGAGTACAGAATGCAAGTGATGATGAAATGAAGTCACGGCCTGAAGCAGGGATGGAGCACTGGTGGGGAGGCAGGGCCAACCTAGGGGAGCTGAGGCGCGTGCAGCGCACCAGAGCGACCAGAAGGGTTGCAGCCAGGATCCATCCCTTCCCAGGCCTCATTTAAGGGTTGGCAGTGGAGGCAAGGGGATCTCTGGAGATCCCTGTGTGCCTGAGGCTTTCTAAAGGTGAGCGGTTTCTTTCCTTTATTTCTGTGCCCACAGTTGCTGTGTTTGAGTAAATCTTCACTTGCTGCAGCCTGGGCCTTGCAGCTCTGCTGTCACTGTTGCACTTTCTGTTGCATTACATCCTCTTTGAAGAGGGCTGTAGTAAGATGGGTGAAGTTATGGTTCCTGTTAACCTGTCCCTAAGCATTCTAGTTTTTAACCGTCAGCCTGTTTATTCCTTTGTCCTTTCTTAAAGTTAAGAGGATATTAAAGTTTATGGGATTGATCCCTTTATCATTTTCCTCTAAAATGAGTGAATTATAAAAGGCTAGGCTTGGTGAGAATTTTTACTTAATTGGTGTACAGAATTCTACTGGAGTTGAAGTTTATTTTCATATTGTTTTTGTGGATTTATCCTTTGGAGTTTGAGAAAGAGAGATTGGAAGAGGAAGAACGATAAGGACCTCCAGAGCTGATCTTCCAGGGAATAGCACAGAGAAAGACATATTAATCTTCAAATCAGAGATACAAGTCCAGTTCTCAGTGAAGATCCTAATTAGCTTTTTGTTACAGGACTTCATTTGTTGGAGTCTCCCATAGCTTTTTCAGGGAATGTTTTAGAGCTCACCCTGGTTCAATGTCAACATGTGTAATATATGCATTATGATTAAGATTAAAAAAAGTCCTTACTGATAAGAGATATCAAAAATCTTGTTATGTAAAAAAAAAAAAAACAACAAACAAACAAACAAAAAAAACCCACCACAGTGTGAATGCATAGAGAGCTTAATAAAGCATTTTTCTCTACAAATTGCCATTCATGCAGGAAAACCCTTAGTTGTTCACTCCTAGTATTTTTATCTGTGTAACCAACAGGAACCATAACTTAGCTCAAGAATTCCCAGGCAGAGATTCCTTGAATGCTCCCAGCAGCAGCCCTGTCAAGCTGAGCTCATCAGGACTACCGTAGTCCAGGCTTCTTCAGGCATGTCTTTTGTTTTCTTTCTTTTGTTCTGCTTGCAAGTCTTCTCTATATGGAACTTAAGAAGTTTTGCTTTAATATTTTTCTAGAATTTCCAGATGTTTAGCAGTCTAACTGGAGCCAGTTTTGTATAATGCATCCCCCTGGACTGCCCTGTATTTGAGCAATCTGGATACTTCTAAAAGAAACGTAAATATCTTGAAAAATTCTCTGGTGCATCAGGGAATTGTATGATGAACTTAGTCCGTGCTGAAGTCAGCTTCACTGAGGTGCCTCAAAGCTTTGGATTTACAACTCAGTGGGATATACTGGAATAGTTATAACTATTGGAAATCCAGATATTGCAGAGTGATACCTGTGTGCATACCTTTAAATTCACGGGCCAGGACCTCAGCCTTGTGATCTGTCTCCTCCGTCTTTCCACTGAGCCATTCACTTAGCAACCTCTTTTTGTTTTTTGGGGGGTATTTTGCTGTCACCATCAGTGACAAAACCACCACCTGTGCTACCACAGTTAGTATCCTGATGCTCTTCCTCAGCCCTATCACTTTCTTATTTATCACTACTATGCTGTCTTTATCCCGCTTGAGGATCTTACAGCCTTGCAGTTAGAGCCACGCTCCTAACAGGCAACCTTATTTACATATGGAAACAGTCTTTCATCGTCCTTGCCAGGAGTTAAGATGGCAGGTGGTCAGCTCACCTAAATAGGCTCAGACACCTTGAAATATTAGATGTCACTTTCTGTGGCCTGCATAAATGCATGTGAAGATGCCATCTGTATGCCTTGTGCATGGACTCTCACCTCCCAGTGCCTGTAGGAGGCAGAGTCAGATAGAGTTGTTGCTACATCACATGTTCGAGTGATTTGAGCACTGCTAGTAATTAAAAAAACAATGAGAATTTAATAATTTCAGTCCTAGTATGATAGCTGTTCGTGTGGAGAATACTGTTATAAAAGCACTGACCACCACCTCTGTTACTCAAACTGTGTGAATTGGTCTTTTGAGTGAAATTGAATAGATAGTTAGGGTTTCATGCTGTTTAACATCTAATATTAATGAAAGATGGGGAGAGTATTTCAGTGGCACACATTTTGAATGAGTTGAATTAAAACAGTTTGCAGATGAAAACTCGTTTAAGCCAGCTCACTTGGTGGTGCTGCTTTCTGCTTCTGCAGGCTTTATAAGGAAAACTGAAGGAGCATCAGTTGAAGTGACTGAAATTCTTCTATGCAGATGTAGAACATGACTTTCTGAAACAGCTGGTAAAATTTACAAGAAATGCAGATTGGAATTTGAAAGTAGTTCTTTTGTTGACTCGAATTGAATCTAATGGCAGCTTTCTTATGTATCCTTGGGAAGGAGAGGCTGCTAATTTAAAACTGTTCAAAAATAATATGGGCTAAAAAATATTTATTGTATATTTTGCAACCAAAATGAGATTTTTTTTTTTAATTTTTTAATAAATTCAACATGCATTGAGTTGTCAAGGTATTGGGAATATAGTGTTTACTGTTTATTTATTCATGGAGTATTTTTATGTAGAAATGGAAAGTTTGAGTGTATCACTGCACAGGGAAAGCATTCTCAGGAAAAATATTCTGATTGCCTCTTCAACCTATTGGTAAAATTAAGTGAAAATTAAGTGAAGATGCTGGTTGAGAATGCAGAACTACGTACTGCTCTTGTGAATTTTCTCAGCCGAGGGTCTAGAAGTAGGGTTTTTTTCCTTTTTTTCCTGAATTGCTTACTACAGAGCAAGAGTATAGCTGCTGTTGTTCTGAAGCTGCAATAGATCACTGTGCTCGTCCCTGTGAATGAGCTGGAAGCTCTAATATTTCAAAAGTCACGTTTGGGAAAGAAAGAATTTAAAATTATAGTTGTGCTTTGTTCCTAATGTTTCCTCTTCTTATGAAAAAGCCTTCTAGTCTGAGCAGAGGAGAGGTTACTAAATCACATGAAGATCTGACAGAAGCTGCCTTTGCCTCCTGGAGGCCGTGCTATGGGCACACTTGGAAACCATGATAGATAAGTTCCATGCTGAATGAACGTGTAACTTTTCGTGCTTCTCACCATAGAAAGATAACATCCTACAGCAGACGGCTGTTTGAAATTCCCAAGTGCTTTTTCTGATTTTCCATTTCATTACATTTTAATGTTGAATAATATTCATCGTGTTACATTTGCAAAAAACAAAAAACAAAAAAAACAACCCCAGAACAAACAAACAAACAAACAAAAACCCATGCAAACTCAAGTAGTTTCTCATGTAGTGCATTTTAGTGCATTTCTTTTGTTTCCTCTTCAGACTTTCTGACTCTATATTGTAACGTTCTTTTGTGCACGTTCCATTTTTGTGAATAACTCAGGCTGTTTATGCTATGAAATTTCCCACTGTCTTTGTATAAAGCATGTTTTATCTGCCTTTAAGATTTATTCCAGATAAGTTACATGTGATGGTAAGCCAGAAGATGTAGCCTCAGAAGTGAGTGTATGTGTGTGTAAGCCAAAGTACTTCACGTCTGCTGCAATGGAACATCAAAGCTGTCTTTACAGTGTTTTCATAATGTTAACAATGTTTTTCTAATTTGTTTAGTTTTATTGTCAGCTTATAAATGATGAAAGCAGTGGGGAAAACCTTTCTGCTTATCTTCACCTTTTCATAATAGAAACATTAAACATGCTACAGGATGTAAGCATGTTACACAACTGCAAGTTGTGACTCCATAAATAAGCTCCAGTTTTGTTGTTGGTTGTTTTTTCTTTTTAAGAGATTCAGCTTCTTGGTTACAAATTGAAAACTACATTTTGACCTCATTATACCTCTGTTGAAGTTGCACATGAACTCACTTTGTTATCCACAATTAAATCTTGTAATTTGCTGGAAATGGATATTTGGGCATAGTTCAATAAGAGCCTTTTGGTGGTGGTGTCAGGCTTAAACTGTTGCTTCCCTTCCTTGTAGCAATCCATTCTTGCTCTGTCTCATGTGACAGCCAAAACATTCTTCTGGCCATGAAATGAAGCAGATTGGAGAAGTGATTAGTTGAGAAGTAAGTAATTTCTGTGGGATCATTTGTCAGACACGTCTCATCTTCGAGGTGCCGTTGTGCAAATGCTGTTATTGTCCCTGTTGCAATCCACTCATGATTCCAGGAATGAGTTTGTGCTGGAGGAGAGGGGACAAGTTGGTGGCTGCTGCTTCAGTGTCACTGCTGCCACAAGGAAAATTCTGCCTATGGAGACTTAGTGTTCTGTGACCTGATGTTACAGAACCCTTCAGTGCAAAAGGAGACTTCTTCACTCTCTCATGTAGCTGAAACTCCTGCTTTTTTTTTTTTTTTTTTTTTTTTGGTGGAAGAAATTGAAGTTGTGATTGAATGGATTTTAATGAGTGGTTGTTTTAGGTATTGTTGTGGAGCACATTAGTAGCAGCTTTGCGTTGCTTCTTAAACGGAAGGCATATTTAATTTTCCTCTAAAAA